GGGCTTTAGTGTTCCCGATTGTATCCATTTCGCTAAGTTGTCGGCAGAGAGAGAGAGAGAGAGAGAGTCTAAAAACTGATTAAAAAAGGATTAATTGTGAGAAAAATGAATTAATAGATTGAGTCAACAAACGTTACATTTGAGTCAAACATTAAATCGATTGGAAAGAGTTTTCTCGTGAACTAAATATTGACAAAAAAGACAAATTAACAAAATTGGGGAACAATTTATTGCCTTTAATGTCAAACTCGAGCATTAAATCATTTAAATGGTCTGTCTTTAAGGTCTTAAGTTTTATACACGAAACAACTGTTTTGAACAAAATTTAAAAAACCTTTTTTTAAACATAAAAACGATTGAATTCTTTGTCATGGATTTGAGATCAAAACTATTTCTCTGCAAAAAACTCAATATTTATTTGAATTTTAATAACAATTTCTATAAAATGAGTGAAAATGATAATAATATTTATTGCATTTTTGGCCAAAACTTGTAAAGCCGTTATAGAGAAGTGAATAAACAGAGCTATAAATGGTTTCGTTTTATGTGTAAAAAAGTAAATCGATTTCTGTCTTGAGTTGTGAAGAGAGACAAACACTTTCACCGAATAGTCTTGAAATAAAGTTTGAGATATCGATAAACATTACATTCAAAGCAATTCATTGAATGTCTTTTGAACACAAATGAAATGTCATTTAATATAATATCCATTATATTGAAGCAAAAACTCAAACATTCATAAATGTAACTAATATTTCATTACTTTATCGGAAATAAAACAGACATAAGAAAAAACAAATATTTAAAGACATTAATCATAAATATATTTTTCGAGATAACAATCAATTTGCGCCCAAAAAAGTGTCTTAAATTATCCATTCATTGAATTAAAGCTAATTTCCCTAATATTTATCGATTTTATGAAATTGCTATTTATATGAACCGTTATATAAGGTATGATAATATATACCGTAATATTGGGTATAATATACTATATATACAGTTATATTATTATTGATAAGTATTTCTCATATAAAAACATTCATTTCATAAATATATTCAATTAAATTGAAGTCAAATATAAAATAATATTTGTGTTGATTTCACATGAAATATATATTTCCACAGAATTTAAAGCAATAATTGAGAAAATGGTCGAAAAAGCATATATTATGTGATATATTGTGTCCAAAAACCATTCATTTAAATAATATTTCTAACAAAACATAATATTACTATAATTTTGATTAAATATTACAAATTAATCATAAATTCAATTATAAAGTACACAATAAATCACAAATATTTTTAAGGATAAGACACTTGTTTACCACAAATGTTATGAAAATTATGATAAAATCTAATCAAATAAAAGGTGACAAAAATGTGTACAAAAAACAAGATTCACAGCAATTGAAGACATATTTGGGCTTTAAATGGATATGAAATGAATGATTGGATCGAAAATAATGGATATTAACGGAAATGGATTGATATTATGGATGGAAATGAATGGTAAATACGAGATATATATGATATCTCAGGGAATGAATGGGTAAAGCATTAGTCCGTTATGTCTGACCTCAACGTAAGCGTCCACTGAAGAGGACGAGTGAAAAGCGATGAGAATTAACGCAATGATAATCTTCATCGTTGACCAAATGGTTGACATATTATTGGCTGAACCGATAGATTATACACCGATTGTGGCGAAAGAGATAAGAGACCAAAGATGGCCGTCCGATGAGGTCTTGTCGCTCACCCACACTATCTATGACTGAAGAGTATTATATGTATGGTTTGTATTGCTTGCGAAACAACACTCAATCAATGGTTAGAGCAATGGAGGAGACATTCAGTGAGAGAGAGCACAGAATATGGCATTCAATGCACTGCTGGGGAGGAGGAGAGAGAGCAGAGAAGGCTGAGAGAGCTATGAGAGAGTGGGTGCGGGAGAGACGGCAGAAGGTCGCAAACACTCAGTGCTAATCATCCAATCGCTGCCAAATGTGCCACTAATGGTCTCCCAGTGCCAGAAGGCATACCAGTTCTGGTCCACACCGTAAGCGTCATCTCGAAGATTAAACACTAAGTATTTCATCGATTCCTACCATATATTCACTCAATCTTCGTCTTCAGCGCCGCATTCAATGCGATCACAACTTCTCTTCCCATAGAAATAGTCGTCAAAACGAAAGATAAAAATCGATTCTTCTTTTCGTGCAATCGTTGAAAAAGTTTGACTAAAAATAGACTTCTCTATTCAGCGCCGCATTCAATGCTATCACAACTTCTCTTCCCATAGAAATAGTCGTCAAAACGAAAGATAAAAATCGATTCTTCTTTTCGTGCAATCGTTGAAAAAGTTTGACTAAAAATAGACTTCTCTTACAAAATGTGTTGTCGTTCACAACAACTGAAATAACGACAACTCCTGTTATATCGATCAGTGAATCAAATAATTAAAAACAATTTTTATGTTTTATTTATACGTTTATAGAAAGACAATAAAAAGCTTTTTGACAGACGTTTTCACAAAATGTAATGCCTTTGAAATCAAAGTAGAAAATAACTTATTTGTAGAATTCATGTTCGGATTCGTCTTTTTTGATGTTATTCTTGTATCCCTTCTCGAAGTCTTTGGGCAGAACTACATATCGGTTCTCACGGACCGCATGCATACCCGCCTCCTGACAGATAGCGTTGATGTCGGCACCGGAGATGCGGTCAGGTCTGGCCACGTAGTCTTCGAGGTCCACCTCATCACTCAAATTCATTCTTGTCGTTATCGTCGAGAATATCAGTCGCTTCTGACGCCTGTCCGGTACCGGAAACTCAATCTTTCGGTCCAATCTTCCGGGTCTGAGGAGTGCGGGATCGAGAGTGTCGGCCCGATTGGTGGCCATAATCACCTTCACGTTCGTTGTCTGATCGAAGCCATCCATTTGGTTGAGCAGTTCCAACAGAATTCGTTGCACTTCGCGGTCGGCGCCGGTCTGGGCGTCAAAGCGTTTGGTGGCGATGGCGTCGATCTCGTCGATGAATATGATGGCCGGAGCGTTCTCTCGGGCCAATCGGAACACATCCCTAACCATTCGCGGGCCTTCGCCTAAGTATTTCTGCACGAATTCAGAGCCGACCACTCGTATGAAGGAAGCGGTCGTGTGATGAGCCACCGCTTTGGCTAACATTGTTTTGCCACAACCGGGCGGTCCGTACATCAGTACCCCTCGCGGCGGATCGATTCCGATCTGTTTGTAGAGCTCGAAGTGAGTCAATGGCAACTCAACCGCTTCCCGGATCTCCTGCTTTTGGATGTCGAGGCCTCCGATGTCGGCGTACGTCACGTCTGGCTTCTCGTCGGGTCTCAACATTGCGATACTGCTGTCGGCTTCGGGCGGCAATACGTCCACCAAAGCGTTGCTGTGTTTGTGTAGCGCCACCGACGACGACGGCTTCAACAGTTCCCTATCGATTGTACTCAAGATTCTCACGTAATAATTAGATCCAGTGGTGGAGCCGACAATCCCGGTGTTGGCGTCGACCGCCTCCAAGAACTGGCCGATCACTAGCGGAACCGATTGAATCCGTTTCACCTCCTCCTGAGCGTGAAGGTACTCCTTCTTCAGGTTCTTCTGTTCATCTTTGATGTACTCCTCCTGGACTTCGAGGAACTCCAACTGTCGCTGAAGTTTCTTATACTTCACGTACAGATCGTCCAAATCTTCGTTCTCGTGGGTCGGCGTCGAAGAAGTGGTCACCAGATGTTTGGCATCCGATCCGAAGGTCTCCTCCTTTTCGATCCGAAAGATAAATGAAGACAAAAATATAGTCAAATGTGGACATCACTCAGTGGTTCACGTGTTCAACAGTGTCTTCAACGGTGACAATACCATACCTTCTCCGGCAATACAATCCCCAACTCTTCCATGGGATGCGCTCTTCGGGTATACGACTGGAAACGGGATTGAAATGAATGGCAAACTGACAAAGAAGTGAATCAATTGATGTCTTGTATTCACTCAATACTATTGAGTCGACAATGAATTGCAATAAAATTTATACACAAAACACACAAACCGTCCGAAAGATGGCATTCAATGCAGTCATGCATTCATTCAATCGTTTCATCAGTTCTTCACATGAATTGACAAAACATATGATAATTGTTTTGAAAGCACTTTTGCCGAAGACATCACACGAAGACATCACCCGAGAGGTTGTGTTGAGTGAATGGCCAGCAAAACGGCGGTAGTGTTGGGCGGAGGCATAAGTGGTCTTTCGTGCGCTTATTATCTGCAAAAGTTTTGCCGGCATTTGAATGCATTCAATAAGATTGTGGTACTGGAGAGCGGATCCCATTTGGGCGGTTGGCTCAAGACGTGTCAATTCGGTAATGGCGTGAGACATGAGTTGGGACCGCGGACTCTGAGGGCCTCACAGAATGCCGGCTATAATGTCCTCTCAATGGTATTTGTCGACCACTATGTGATCCGTACTTTGTTTTTGGCCAAAACTTTTATCCATATTGTTTCTATAGGTTGAAGACATCGGTCTCGCGGATCAAGTGATAGGCACTTCCGTGACGTCGAGTGTGACCAAAAAGAGGCAGATTGTGATGAACAACGAGTTGGTAACGCTTCCCAACAGGCCTTTAGATTATTTACGAAAACCAAAAGCATTTCCCAAACGATTGATATCTTATATCATCAAAGACTTAAAGACACCGAAAATAGATTTAAGTAAATATGAAAACGATTGCAGTGTTTATGAGTTCTTTGAGTACCGATTGGGCAAAGAAGTGGCCGATTATATATTCGATCCGTTGTGTCGCG